ATTCATTTGAATGAGAAAAAAGATAAAATAGCAATGAAACAGTTTCAAAAACTGGTTAAGAGGACAGTTACAATAATCAATACACTGCATATTGTTGTCTTTGTAGTAGTTATTCAGAGGACAGGATGTAGACATGAAATCTAGTCTAAACACTATTACTGCAAACCTTTCTTCTCATTGAACTAAGAGAAAATAGCTGTATCCCTATCCTAGCTATCTTGTTATACATCTATATTTTTTTCACTACAAAACAGTAGGATATATATATATTTTTTTTTTAAAGGCAGGGTCTCACTATGCAGTTCAGGCTGGACTCGAACTGATGGTGATCCTCCTGCCTCAGCCTCTCGAATGCTGGGATTACAGGCATGTGCCACCATACCCAACAGGTTTGTTTTTTTTTTAATAAGGTATCAATGAAATCAAATAGGGAGTGAAAAAAATGCAGGACAAGGAAAAGAGTTATTCTCAAAGCCTCTGGTCAGCAGAGGACTTTCTTTCAGAGAAAAGGCCTGGGCCACTGTGAAAAATACAAGTGAAAATCAAAATAAGTACATCTGAACAGAGGTGCCCCTTTAGGAAAGGAACTTGGAAGGTCACAGCAATAATGATGAGAAGCCAGGCCAGGAATGAAGTCTCTTCATTTGCCCACAGAAAATACAGCACACCGATGTTCCAGGGCAGAGGTGCGACTCACTGGCTTATCGATTCAATAATGAGCTCAGTAATGTTATTAATAAGTATCAAAACCTAAAGACATCAGGGGCCGGGGAGATGGCTCAGTGGAATAAGTGCTTCCCTGGCAAGTGCAAGGGCCTGAGTTCAATCCCCTGGTTCCACCAAAACAAAAACTAAGGACATCACCACATGCCAGGGTGCAAGAAGCACTTGTTCCTGCTCAGTCCTGACAGTTACCGATCTCCAAGCACCCTGCTCAGAAGCCAACAGTGAGAACCTTGTGCAGGGCACCCGCCACTCAGCAGGGCCACAGCCCAGCCCTTACCATTCCGATGCCTTCAAATGCAAAAATAGCTGTGCCGAAGAACAGAGGGTAGGTCTTCCAGGGCGCCACCAAGGGCAGGTGGCTGGGGTTCGGGAGCCCCTGGAAGAGATGAACAGAACCAGTGAAGGGCTGCCTAGAGATTCTAGCACTGAACCCCCACTGAAAGAAGTCAGGCCTTCCCCTAATCCCAAGATTCCACCAAAGGAGATCCCCACCGCTGACAGGTGGTTTAGGGACACTTAGCCGTGGCTTTTTTCTTCTCTCTTTAGGTGGGGAAAGCCCTGTTTGCTTTGGGAAGACTAGCCCAGTGTACCGTTAACCCCTCCGATGACGCTGAGCTTGCACAGGGTGAAACCCTCCCACCAGAAAGTCTCATCCCCAGGCATTGCATGCAAATAAAAAATATCAAAAGACATGGAAGCTGCACAGAGCTATTCAGCAACAAAACCAAAATCCACCATTTTAAATACTCTCTAACAGAAGTTAAGAAATTAATCCTACACCAACTGTATCAAAGTATGACACACTGTTTAAAAAGTACAAATTGTGGTAGTTAAGTAGAACACGAAAAGCTGCTTATGAAATTACATTGAGAAAATATTTTTAAGTTTATACAATCACTCTGCTATGATATACAAACACCCGACACAAATAAGGCCGGAAGGAGAGTGGGTACAGCCTTGGAATCGCTCTTCTCCTTTTTTCTCACCCCGTCTCTCTTCCTGTCTTTCTGTTTTGCAGTCCTGGGCTTGAACCAATGGTCTCACACACTAGGCAAGCACTCTACCGCTGAACCCCAACCCCAACCCTTTTTGTTTATTTTTTTGAGATAGGGTCTCACAAGTCACCCAAGCTAGCCTCGAACTGTCAGCCTCCCAAGTAGCTGTGGCTACAGGTGTGCATCACCATGCCAGGCTTTAGGGTTTTATTTTTTCTTGTTACTGAGATTTCGTATTTGGAAAATATTGAGAGCCACATGAAAAGTGTTGGGGAAACATTAGGGGAAACATAACTAAAAAGAATTTAAAATGCAGGCAAATAAAAAAGCAAGTGTTATCTGGGCACAGTGGTGCATTCCTGGAGAGCTAGCATGCCGGGAGGCTGAGGCAGGAGGACTGCAGGGTCCGGCCTACCGAGGCCACTTACTGAGACCCTTTCCCACCAGTGCCTGGGTCTGCTCTCTTCCACACTCCAAGGCGCAGCCTTCCGCCTGGCCACCATGCCAGGAAGCAGCCTGAGACTCTCGCCATTATCCAGACAGACGGGGCACCACGCTCCTGGGCTTTTCACAGTCCAGAACCATGAGCTAAACACACTCCCATTCTCATAAAGCATCCAGTCCCGGTTCCTCGGAGCCACAGAAAACGGACCAAGATGCCATGTCTTGAAACTGATTTAACTATTGTGTGAGCCAGCTTTCTGTCACTGAGATAAACAATGAGTGGCTGAGGAGGAGCGGTTTATTTGGCTCAGTGGTTTCAGGCCGCAGTTGTTTGTTCCTGTTGCTTTGGGCCTGGTGCGAGGCGGCAAATGACGGTGGGCAGCACATATGGGAGCAAACTACTCACCTCAGCAGCCAGGAAGCAGCGGGAGGAGGAGGAGCTGGGGTCCAGCGTCCCCTTCAGCACTGTCCCCCTCCACCTAAATGAGTCCCACCAGGCCCCCCCACCTCCTAATGGTGTCACCACCTCCCAGCAGTGCCAGAAGCAGGTGGCCAGGCCTTTCACAGAGACTCCTAGGAGACACAATGACAGGAACGACAAGAGTCCTTTGACACAGATGGGATATGCTCTGACAGCGTGAGAGAGTAACTTCAGGCTATTCACAGACTAAAAGAAGGTCTATTAATCTCTGGAGAAGGAGTCTCTCAAAGATTTAAAAATGACTATACTGGGCTGGCGAGACAGCTCAGTGGACTAAGTGCCTGCTTAGACAAGCCCAGGGACCAGCGTTGAATCCCCCAGCACCACAGACCATGCTGGTCCTGCCCCCAGGGGCACTGAGCTGGCCCCCCAGAGACCTGGCATGGTGGTGCACATCAGCTCTGGGGAGGCTGGAAACGGGAGGATCACTACAAATCTGAGCTGTGTAGTGAGACCCTGCACCAAATACATTTTTTAAAAAATACTATAATCTTTGGAAGGAAAAAAGGACAAGGAAAAGAGATGCTTTTTCCTGGGTTTCTGCTCAGAAATCAGACTTTTTTATTTACAAGATACTTTTTAGCATCTGGCATGACCCAGACTAATAGATGTTATTCCTCTACAATGACACATAAAAGTGAAATGGCCCTCTTATTATTCCTGAGTCACAAATGAAACCTAAGTTCCTGGAAACAGGTTTCCTTTGGAGCGTGGCTACCTACTGCCTGGTTCACACACTGGATTGGACCGAGTGTTCGGCTGGGGAACCTCACAACTCTGTCTGCTAGGGTGCCATGTGGGCGAGATCCACAGAAGCCCTGCGGGAACTCTGCCTGCCAAGGACTCGGTTGCTGCTGACCTACAACCCAACCGACCACATGGAAAAGCTGAATCTACAAAGAAACACGTAAGCTACGATCAGCTCATCACCAGCGTATCTCCTCGATTCTACTACACCACCACTTACAGTCATTACCTTTTTTTAAGGTAATGCCATAAAAATATATACACATGGCTGAAAATGTATTCTAATTCTGAAATCAATGGAACTGTGCCAGAACACATCTCAGAATTAGGAGACACAGCAATTAGAACATTTCCTGGGAGACAATGGGGTGACCTGCTCAGGTGGGGGACATGACCTGCTCTCTACGTGCACATGCCCAGGAGCCAGGCTATCAGGCACATACACTTAGCATTAAGGAACAAACCTTTAAGCCTCAGACAGGAGTGTTCTCACGGTGAATACAGTAAAATGCCAACACACAACGGGCAGTCACAGAGCAACAATGGCAACAAAAATAATCTGATGGTAGCCATGACCCACCTTGAAAGGTTGCTGCTCCAACACTGCGCAGCAACTGTGCCAACACGCAGCCAAACCACCAATGGCCCCCCACGCTGTACCAGGCTGACAGCAGTGCCCGATCCCGAGATTCCCAGACCCCGCGGCTGAGTCCGGACAGACGTAGACCTGCACTCCCACCACCGGCAGGGCTGCCTCACCTCTGAGAACTGGCCGTGCGGTGCACAGACCACAGAGGGCGGACGGCAGCAGTCAGCTGAACGTGAGACACTACAGGGGCCCCCATCCTCCCCCCAAACTTTGTGACAAGCACAGTGCCACTACCTGTCATGGTTTAAAATCAAACACAGGGTTGGGAGACAGCTCAGCAGTCTAAGCATCTGCCTGGCAAGCGCAAGGACCTAGGTGGTGCACGCCTGTAATCCTAGTGCTAGGGAGGTTGAAGCAGGAGGATCACTATGAGTCCCTCGGCAGAGAGAGTCCCAGTTTTCCCTGACCCATTGGTTTCTTAGAAACCGCATCAGTAGGTGACTGGGTCACTGTGCAAAACGGAGGCAACACTCACCTTTCAGAATGACCAACATTAACCAGGCTGAGGCACTCAAGAGTGGGCTAAGGTGGGAAAACAGATGCACACACACTGTGGAAGGACAGCTATGTGAAACCAGCCAACAGCCTTGGGAAAAAGCCAGTGGGCAATGTTAGAAATTCAATACTGCCTAGGCCTCTGCCACTGCCCCTTCAGAGAAGCACACCACAGAGAGGAACCCACCGTTCTACAGGAAGGAAGACTGTAAGTCCGAATGACCCGGTGGGCTGGTTAAATAACCTACAGCCCATCTCTTCTCTGTCACTAGGGAGCAGTTAGAGTGAAGAGAGCCAGCTCTGTCAACCTAGAGTACTTCTTTCCACAGTCCGGGAAACCTAACACAGAGCCATGCGCTTGCTAGGCGAGTGCTCCACACTGAGCTGCTTTTTATTTATAAGTCAGCCAGCTAGTCTCAAACTCAATCCTCCTGCCTCAGCCTCCTGAGTGGTGGGATTATAGGCAAGCAGCACAGCGCCTGACTGGAGAGTCCTGTAAGGCACTGTCAGCGGAGGAGGCAGGTAAATGAACTCTACAGATAACTTCTAAAAATCATCTGAAAAACACACTTCAATGCACTGCCTATACACCACAGCGACACAGTGCCTAAATGCACCATGATGCCAACCACACATCGGACCGGGCACACGGTGCGCACGTCGGACGGGTCTCTCAGCGCGCAGCTGGAGTGTGCAGGAGGCATTTGCATGGTCTGGATTTTAATGAACAGGCACTGACGTGCGTTCATTGGGAAATTAAATACAAAGTTTTTTTAAGTTACACTTTTATTCACCTGTTTTTACTTCTTTTCCTTTTCCTGAATCTTGGAAAATGCGTCATCTTCCCCACACACTGCCTGCCGCATGTGGCACGTTAAAGGCACATTCCTCTGCGCCCGACCGACTCCTTTATGTTCACACATTCTCACCTTAGCCCAACAGCAGTGTCAACAACAGGTGGATTTGTAATTTTAACAAATAAATACAAAACTGGAGTCAGTAAAGAATTAACTTATATAAATACAAACTAGAAAAATCAATTTTTATTTTGATCTTAATTCTCATCCCCATTTTCCAACCATATATAATGATTACGCACTAAGAACTGAATCAAAAAAATTCGAAACCAGAGATTTCAATACAGGTGTTGAGGGTATCTCCCCAGATGTTGCTGCGGAACATCTGGAGAGGAATACCTGCCTCTGTCACCTATTGGGAAGAGATTTGGATGCAGCTACAATACATGGGTCAGCCTCGCTACAAAAAAAAAAAAAAAAAAAAAAAAAAAAATCACCTGGCCCATCATACCAACAGTGCTGATACCAAGAACTTTTCATCTAAATACAACACGTGTAGGTAGCACATAACCACTCCCACTACCTCCTCGTTTTGTTGGTCTCTCGTATTCCATGGGGTAGGAAGGGCCCGGCTCATACCTGGACTATGAACTGGTAGATGAGGATCAGGCTGACCAGCATGCTGATGTTGGCCAGCAGGGAGAAGATGGACAGGACCCGGAGGTTCCGGATGAACACCAGCAGCACCAGGAAGGGCAGGAGGGCGAGCATGTAGAGGCGCGAGTCCATGGTGGGCGTCAGGATCACCGTCTCATTGTTGTGGCAGTTGGTGGTGGTGCTGTTGGCAGCTTCTACCACCTAGAAAGAGGGGATGAAAGAAAACCCCCGCCAATGAGGACGCCAGCAGGGGTCTCACATGAAGAGGCCCCCGACTAAAGCCTCCAGGATGTGACGGAGGCCTCGGAGACACGCGTGGGCTGGGGGCCTTCCTTGGGGAGCTTCACGGTTGTCATTCGCAGCCCATCGGTCTGAACCGGGTTTGGCCACATCTCACTTGAGACACAAGGATGGACGAGACACCGTGGGCTTCCTCTGCGCTCCAGGCTTGAAAGCCAAACAACAGGAGCCGTGTCTATAAGGTCTAAAGCCCTAGCTCTTCTGATGACCAAAGCTAAGGAACCCGAACTAGAAATTGGACTCAGCTGTGGTCACTCTCTCTGATCAGGCCCTACCTGCTTAAAGTTGTCAGCCAGGAACACGAAATACACGCAGCAGAAACCCAGCTGGGTGACGATCAAGAAGAAGTCCACGACGCGCCTGGAGAGGAGGAATCAAGGTAAGGACCGCCGCGACGCAGGTCACAGACGCAGGACTCCAGGGCGGGGCTTTCAAAGTGCTCTCCCAGTCATCATGGACCCTTCCCGGCCGGGCTGAGGACAGTCATGTCCCAGTAAGGAAAGACCTGCGTCAGTGCCACCAGCCTGGAGCTCTGGGAGGAAGGGCAGGAGGTGCTATCTGTGTGCCTCCCCAGGTCCCTGTCCCAGCTCCTGTCTGGAGTGCAGGGGAAGGTCAGGGAGTCCCCATGGCATGGGCCAGGCTCCGTGCCCACTGTGCAGGCCTGGCCTCCCCCTCAGCGCCCGCCTGGCCTATCTCAGGCCTCTGCCCCTAACACCACCTGGAGCCCCTGAAGTAACAGATCCAGAAGAACAACCTTCACGGCTCTTGCCATCAGCTGGATCCAAAGCCTGAGCTAAGTATGTACCCAGATGTTGCGGATGGGAGCACAGTTACACACAGCTGGTAACAATGAAACTGTAGAGCAGCCCTACATGGGACACTGACTAGCGGCTGGAAAGAATGTGTTACATCTGGATGTGCTGACAGAGAAACATACCTAAGACATTTAAGGGGGAAAAGCAAATTTCCAAATGGCATCTAATATGGTTCATACATGTAAAAAATTTTCAAATGTGAATGTTTATATATATATATAACTAGTATACATATATTTATTATGTATAACTAGTATATAACTACTAATATATAACTATATATAGTTATATTACTATAGTTAAAGTTATATGAACTTTACATAATTTTATATATATATTCAAAAAAGTACACATGTAACTGTGTAAAAGTATTTACTGTTAGTGCTATGTCCTTCTATCTTGTTAAAAAATGTGAGAACACATTTTATGAAAAGGGAGGGTTCTGGAAAGACAAGGAGAGAAGGAGGGAGGAAGCTTTAACAAGCAGCCAACCAGCCCAGTGAGCACTCGAGAAGCCAATCTGGCTTCTCATAATCCAAGGAAAGGATCCCACCCAGAGAACAGCAGAATCTGCATTGCAGGATGAAGCTGACTGAACAGATAGGTGTCCTCCTGGACCCCTCAAAGGGACTTTATTCTAGAGAAGACAGCTTTAAAATGAGGCCAGAAAGAAACGAGTACCCAAAGCCCAGGGTGACACCACTCACCCCCAGCACCGCTGACCCCAACAACACTCCCCACTCCTGCAGCGACCCCGCACCCTTCTCTGAAGGCCTCCACCCTGAGAGGACACCAGTTACCTTCCCCAGTGGGCATGGTTCCGGAGCCAGGCGCTGGGGCTGGATTCTAGACCATACATCACAGTGTCCCCATAGTCCACAAAGGGTTTGTTCAGTCTGGGAGAGGGGAAGGGACAAGGGCAGAGGGTGTGGATTAGACAGTGACTTGGCACAGCTGGATGGAGCCACTGCGCCCCAGGGCAGTCACCCTCGAGGCGCCACTCTTGAGCTCTCCATCCCAAGCTTTCAAGGACCCCAGTGTTAGTTAGGGCCACAGGACAGTTACTTTTATTGCAATTTATAACCATCTTGCAGAACCATTTTAGTGGAGTAAATGCGATACAGCACAAGGAATTCCAGTGTGGCCTCTGTTCCCTGGGCCTTAGTAAGTTTAATAGATGACAACAGACCAAAAGAGAACAAAAAATCCACCAGGAGAGGAGGTGCTTCAGTAATAAGCAGCACATGAGCCTTTGATCATGGGCAGAACCGAGCACAAGCCATGTAAATTCCCACTTCTAGGGTTGGTAAAGAAATCAGAAGCACCGTTTATCCCAAGAGGCGGCTCGGGGCTCTCACCTGAGGCAGAAGTGGCGCGCACACTTCACCAGGAGGCCCATGCAGTGCACGGCCGCCACGCCGATCACCAGCAGGCTGAGGGGACCCAACTGGGAGGGTGTTGCAGAAAAAGAGGAGAGAGAAACGGTGGTTAAGAGTGAGCCCGGGGAAGACTCGACTCACAAGTGACTACCAGTGCTTTCTGGGGCTAGAACTCCTGGCCCAGCATGAGACAAAAGTGATCCCGGGGGTGAGCGCTGCGAGGTGGTGTGACCTGAGCCTTCGCTTGGCTTCCAGAGTCACACGAGGAGACTGACTCAAGGTCAGCCCCTTCCGAGGCTGCTGCGCATCAGCAGGACAGAAGCTCCTGTGACTCTGGGGAGAAGAGACGACGGGGGCCGTGGGGGAAAGAGAAGTTATCATCAAGGCCAGGCCGCCCCAAGACAGACAGCTCTTAGCTGGGGACAACCCGCATCTCTGCACCAGAGCAGCTTTGGGCAGGATCCTAAGGAGAGCACATGTGAGTCTCAAGAGTAGTCACCAGAGAGGGGGTAGGGGGACTGAGAAAGTGGACGGGGGTCTGTCACCAACTCATTGGGTCACATTATCGATAGGAACTGCATGGCCCTGCAGGTTTTTGAGTAATCATCGCAACCACCAAGTAAGCTCCCTGAGGACGGAGATCTTTAATTCTGCGACAGCCTAAGAGCCTGGTTGGTGCCCTACTAAACAGCTTCAGATGAATGGATAGCTCAATTTTGCCTTTTCAACTGAATTTTTTTTTTAAAAAAAGGCTTCTCTATTTATAATGTTTTAAGTGAATTTAAAAACACACACACACACACACACACACACAAAACACTCTTCTAAAATGTGTCACAGTACTTTTCCACAACATACGGACCCTTACCAAGATGCCTGCATTTTTCACCGCCAGAGGCAACCCCAGGAGTCCTGTGCCAATGTTGCCTTTTAACAGGTGGATCAAGGTCTGGAACCATCTGAGGCGGAAGGAAGGGAAACAAGGCACATTAACCACAGTGATTGCCAAGGCTTAAGACGTGCACAGCACCACCCCAAGTGCCCAAATGCATTCTCTCTCTGCATTTCTACAAGAACCCGAGGAGAGTTCACGTCATGCACAGGGAGCAACTGGCCCCAAGGCACATGCCCAGTAAGGAGCTGAGCCAGGTCCCGGCCCAGGTAGCCAGAGCCCGGAGCTCACACGTACCCACCGTGCCCCGGCCCCTCGCAGGCTCTCTCCAGGCACCCTACCCTTTGCTCTGGATGTGGGCCTGCTTCTACCTACTCAGCTGACTTCTCAGCAACAGAGGACATGGGACAGACAGACACTGGTGGGAGAGAAGAAGCCCAGGGAAAAGAAGGCAACGCCGTTGGAGGCTGGAGAGCCCCGCTGCCTCGTGGACTGAAGAAAGGAACAACTGCTGCCTTGTCCGAGCATTGGAGAAGCGGTCTCTGCCAGTCACCTCCTGCCTACCTAGGTATCCTTCCAACTTGAGGCAAATTTTCCCTCCTCTCCTGGTAGTCCCTCAGGTAACACTATTAAAGCCCCTCCTATGTCCTCATTCAATTCTTTACCAGCTACCCTGTAATGAGTGTTAACTGCAGCCCTGGAAGGAAGGAAGAACCAGGTGAGGAGCTCAGTTTCTGAAACTAAATCAAGGAAAATAAGGGGACACGCTCCTAACCGGGCACAGTGGAAGAGGAGGCCAGGAACAGGGCCGAGAGCAAGGGGCCCAGGCACAGCGTGGCACTGTGGGCAGCCCCGAGCTGGGTCCAGCAGGACATGCAGGGTACATACAGGAACCGCTGGGGAGGGAGATGCCACTGGGAAGGAGGGGGGCTGGGTGAAAGGCACCCACAGGGAAAGCGAGGCAGGCCAGGAGTGCAGCGCCCAGGTAGCTGCTGGCCGGAGTGAAGGCGAGTGTGTGGGGAGATGCCCTTGGGGAGCGGGGAAATGACAGAGGAGCACACTCATCTTCAGATTTGTTTTTTATCCTTTGTTACCTCCAAAGAAAAAGGGACTAAGGCAAATGCACTGGCACTGCTTGGGATCTGGCCCCGATAACATCTGGCCATCCATTCTTCTGCATGGATAACACACATCTGTCAACACTGTCACGTAAACACATTTTTTTTCAAGTTTGAAATTCCCAAGTCACACTTGCTACTCATAAAGGCCATGAATAAGACCTAGCTCCTCCTCTGGGAGGTGAGTTTACCCTTCTCCTCCGACCCTCGGGAAGAGAAGCTCTTGGTCTTCCCACTCTGCTCCATATTCTGCTCCACATTTTCAGGAAAGATCAAGAAAACAGCTGGGCGTTAGCAGGGTCCAGAGATCAGAGAATAATGAGCTCATTAAACTTTTTTTTTGTTTTTGCGTTCCTGAGGACAGAGTCTCACTATGTAGTTCAGACTGGCCTTGAGCGCACTTTATAGCCCAGGCTGGTCTTGAATTTGTAATGATCCTCCTGCCTCAGCCTCCTGAGTTCTGGGATTACAGGTGTGTGACATCATGCCTGGCCAAACCCATTAAACTTCTACCTTGGTGAATGTTTAATCCACGTGGTGTGTGGAGAAATGCTGCACCACACCCATCTCCCAATGCCTCTGCCCCCCGCAGTGCCGTCACACGCCCCCCGTCCCCCGTCCCCCCTCCCCCCGTGTGAACAAATCCCCTGCCTCCCTGGGCTGCTGTGGCATTTGTGCAAGGAGGGACCCTGACCAGGCCAAGGCAGCTTCCATTATCCCTCTGGCTCAGGAAGCCCAGCAAATCTGGGCCACTGACCCAAACAGCTCTTTGCAAAGGACAGCCCTGAATTGAGACTACCAATACCACATGAGCATCAGAAAACTGACAGGGGCTCACAAGCCCAAGCCGCAGGGTGGATCAAACTTCTGAGGAGGGAAGCGAAAAGCCTAGCAGAACTCTGCAGTCCCACGTTTCATAACCTTTTCATTCTCTGATAAATTAAGGGCCCTGAACAGCTTTTGTATATGTAGATTATCTCTGCCTAATGTATATTAATTAATACAGCAGAAAATTTTTAAGTATTTAATTAAAAGTAACAATTTTATATGCTAATATGAGTGACCATTTTGGGGCTGGCGAGATAGCTCAGTGGACTAAGTGCCTGCTTAGGCAAGTGCAGGGACCAGGGTATGATCCCTGGCACCAGCTGCCATGTCCGCTCTGCCCCTGGGTGCACCTCGGCCACCAAGACTGGGCGTGGTGGTGCACACCTGTAATCCCAGTGCTGGGGAGACTGAAAACAGGAGGACCACTATAAGTCGGAGCTGCTGTAGTGAGACCCGATCCCAAATACATTAAAAAATATATATAACATCTTATAAAAAGTCATTCCATTTAAAAGAAAACTCTGTAAAAATTGTCTTCAATGAAGAATGAAGAAAAAAATCTTCAATGTCTTGTTTAACTGAAAACACAGCACCCCTCCTGTCTAGACACATGGCTGGCTGAGGAGGCAGTCCTCATCATGGGCCTCTTGCTGTCCCACGACTTCGAAACGGCAGCTTCTTGGCGGCTGGCTGTCGCGGCAGCGGGTGGGCTTTCTATCCTACTACATTCAAATCCACTGATCTTGCGCTTTGGTGGATCTTCTACGTATGCACAATTTCTAACATGGTTCAAATCCACTGGTGACCTCGCTTGGGCTCTCTTCTGGCTCCTGGAACCCTGAGTCACGCAAGTCCTCCACACACGAACACTTTCAGGACACAATACCAAAACCCCACATTCGTTAATATCACTGCCGTCTCCTCAGGAAAGTTTTACACAGAGAAGCCGTCCAGTTCCCAGGGCTGGAAACAAGAAGATTTTGTTATTTTGTTGTTGTTACTGTTTTCTCCAACTTTTCTTAGAAGTTCAGATTTCACTAGGGGCAACACACAGTTTTTCTTGAGTTCACAGTTCACTTCTTTCACCTCTGAGAAGTTAGGTTCATTTCTTTAATTTCCAAGAAAATGCCAACCATTCGGTTCTGACTGAACTATAGTAGTATTCCTTCTAGTGAAGTTAGTGTTTAAGAAAAAAGCAGTCAGTGCAGGCCGCTACAGTGCTCACTGCAGGCTCCGCCTTGGGACAGGTTTCACGCGCTGGCATTTTTCATGCGTGCCTCAGTCTCTGTCATCCACTATAGAAAGAGAGCCATACTGGAAGGCTGTGATTTAATAAAATCAGTGATTTAACCAACTTTGTTTTGAACATTCTTGAGTAAAACTGGATTATTCCTACTCCTTATGTGTGGCAGAGGAAAATACAGTAAAAACTGGCACCATCGGTCACCTCTGCCCCTTTCATGTTAGGCGCCCGCCACTTTACCCACCACGGTGTCAGTCCCATTGGTGTATATGTCACCAAGGGGAAAGGCCAATGCCTCAGTGTTATGATGAAGGCAGCCTGGTCTCCTAGCCTTGGTGGCATGACCTGCCCACCCCAAGTGCTGACCACACGTGGCAAAGGCGGCTCCAGCGCACCCAGGGGAGGCAGCTGCACCCCTTGGTTTCCCAGCGGCCCACGGGGGGGCAGGAGCACTGGGGCACAACCACTGCTGCAGCTATGTGACTCATGCAGAAGGAAAGTGCACACCGCAGTGTAAACCGAGGCTGCTGTCATCAAATTCGACTGCTTGATAGCATCAAGTGTTAGGAAACAGTCCCACGAACACACCATCACGGAAAGGTCTAGGGTTCCCCCTTGTACCCTGTAATTAGGGGTCCAAACTGAAACTTCCAGAAGAGCCAGGGCGTAGTCTGAGAATATGCAAGAGGATAGCAGGCATTTCCAGGTGCTTTGTTCATTAGCAAACTACAGGACAGGGTAGGGCAAGCACTGAGACAAGGAACCGAGCTCAGCATGCGTCCCTAACACATTCTGTGCATCAGAAGTTCACTCAGGCTGGCAAGGGTTCCCAAACCAGCCTATAACTGACTCATACTGGGCATGTTTTCTACATAAATACTTGTGCAGCTCCTATACCCCCAGAGGGAAGTAGTAAATCTTCCAGGTCACCAAGGACTCCTTCCTGGACCAACTGTGATGGGGCTGATACCAATGGGCTTTTCTGGGCCCCACCTCCAATCGCAAGGTCAGAGCAGAATGCCTAACCTGAAACTGCCTGCTGTTAGCTTTGTGCTTCACAGGTCTCTACAAAAATGAAGCTCTAGACCTCTCCTGGCAAGCACACATAAGCTGCTGCCTCAGGGCAAGGAGCAAAACCTGGAAGGGAAACTACAGAGAGAGAAGCTGGGGGGACTGTTACACAATAACAGCCCCCCAGAGAGAAGCTGACGCAGGCGAGTGGAGATCCTTCAGCCTGGGAGACACCAAAGGGTGCACAAGGGTGGGGACGAGGGGAAGGCTGGGCCTCAGCGCTGACAGCTGTTCTTGAAGCAGTCTTCTCCACCAGCTAAAACTGCACCCAAATGGGGAATCCACAAGGCACATCATGTGAGAAAGAAGCCACAAGGCCGGAATCTGTGTACAGAACGCAGCTAGCAGCATGAGGGTGGCCATGAACACAGACCAAACCCTCTAAGTCTGCTCCGGTTCACAAAAGACAACACCCTTCCCAGGGAGTGCAGGCAGGAGCTTCTTCAGAGGGCTCCGAGACGAGCTCCCATGGGCCCTGGGACAGTCACAGGGGCCGCATAACTCTAGCACACAGGGGCCTCTTTGGCAAGTCATCCCAACCCCCCAGGAAGGGTGGAAGCGAGGCTTGGAGGTAGGTAGAGCTGCAGAGGACAGGGTGCTGGGATCCCAAGAAACGCCAGCAGTCTGCAGAGGCTGGGAGGCAGCTGGGAAAGTCTAGGGCATGGAAGAGCTTCCTCTGAACCTTCCCACTCGAGTGGTGGCCACCACACAGCACAGCTTTTGAATGGGCCCCTCGAATTTGTTCTCACATCTGGGTAAACTGAGGCCCTGAAAGGGCCAAAGTCATCCCAGCAGTGTCTTAGTTTTCAGTTTCCAGGGCCAAGACTCAAGCTCTCTGGAAGGAACCAAAGTGTTCTCCTCTTCTCTACCAACTGCTAGACTGCTCAGGTTCCCAGGCGACTTCCCCTTCTTTTCCCTTCTGCAGCCAGATGAAGGGGCTCCTCAGCAAGGGGGCAGAAGCCAGGGGAGAATAGCCAGGGAGGCTACCCCGACGACGTGGAGGCCTGCAGGTGTAGTGCAGGTGAAACACAGTTCTGGAATGGGACCGTCCCCAATACAAGCTTAAACCCAAGGTCTTACTGAGCACTGGGTTCTGCAGCAAACAGCTGGAACCAAGAGCCACAAACGCTGCAGTGGCAGGCAAGAGCAGGTCTTGGTGCAGTCACCTGCCCTGTCTCTTCGGAGCTGACTTTCAGCTCTCAAGTATGGAACTGACAAAAGGGTAGAGGGGCGGGCACCCGACGGCAGACTGTGGACCGTGACTCCCGCCTGCCCGCCCGGGAGAGGACGAGGTCTGGGCTACTCACGTCGTGCTGTTGCTCTCTCCAAAGCGCTGGTAGGCGCCAGGTGCAAAGGTGCCCAGGCTCTCGGACGGGCTCTCCTCGGGGCTCGCATCAGTGGAGCTGTAGTCCTGGTAGTCTTCGTTCCGGAGTCTCTGCGTAGACATGGCAGCTGCGGGGACAGGGCCGGCGTGAACACCCGCAGTGGCTGGGGCCGTGAGCTCCAAGCCTGGGGTGGGCTGTGGGGCAGGAGCAGCCATGGCCAGCTGTCTCCCTGTGCCAGCTGCACCGAGGATTAGGGACAACCAGAGTGCCCGGTACCAAGGGAAATCCAAGAGGAGCAAAGTACAGGCAGCAGGCTGCGCTCGCTCGGCTGGTGCCGCCGACCTGCTCAGTGCGTGATACTCATAAATGTTTAAATTCCTCACGGTGCACCTGAGTAAAGCAGAGGCGAGGCCGTGCTGGGGAGGGCAGGGCTGACGCAAGCACTTCCAAGAAGCCTCCCAATCCCTCACCAGGGCTAACTGCGCCTCCCACTCGGCTCATGGCCTGTCCCTAGAACAATGGTTCAGTCCTGCATCTTCCCCAAGAGCAGGCCCTCAGAGGATGGACACTCCTCATTGGACATGCTCTTTCCTTTGCCTTCTCTGAAGAATCTTGTTGTGTGTGACCTGGTTGGCTGTGGTAGCACATATAGGCCCTGGGTATCATTTAAAAACGGGGAGAGAGAAGAGATAAGAGAAAAGGAGAGGGGACAGAAAAGGGGAGCGGAGATGGTAGGGAAAAGGGGAGAGCGGAAGGGAGAAGGGGGGAGGGCCCACACTCTGCATCATTCAGTCCTGTTCGAAGTCCCCACTGGGCTCAAGAACCACCAGTGTTGGTCTCCTCCTCTCTAGCGTGAGCCCAGTCTTGTCCTGTATAGGAGCTGGAATGCTACGAGCTTAAGCCCAAGGTCTTACTGAGCACTGGATTCCACATCAAACAGCTGAAACAAAGAGTGACAAACACTGCAGTGGCAGGCGAGAGCCGGTCGGTGATCAGGAGCTGGGCACCACGGCGCTCATCTATAATCCCGGCACTCGGGGACGCTAACAATACAATCATAAATTTGAGTCCAGCTGGGCAACTTAGAAAGACCCTGTCTCAGAACTTCAATTTTGTTGTTGTTGCCGCTGCTGTTGTGAAAGGTCTGAGGACGTAGCTGTGTGAAGGCCCTGGAACTAGCCCCCAGAACCACAGAAGAACTTTGCAGAAGGCTTCTTCACCTCACCCTGGGCTGCTTCCTTGCTGCTAATTTGAATAGTGAGAAAAGGCAGCTAGGAACAGCTCAGAGACCGATCAGGAACTAGAGGGAGCCTGAGGCACCGGCCCTCTCCCTATCTGTCATCTACAACCCTTGACTGAGCTCAGGATTCTAACTACACTGGGCCTTTTCAACTAGAGGGGCCCTGAGGCTTTGGAAGCAGCCTGTCTCGTGCCGCCCTGCCCAGCCAGTCCCCAGCCCAGGCTCAGGTACCACAGTCCTGCTTCCCCAGCCAGGTGCTAGATCCCAGAATGCCTCTCCTCTCAAAACCACCACCAAAGGCAGCGACCTAGCGCGGCGGTCTCCGCGCCAGGCTCTAGAGCGCGAGGTCGCCGGTTCGCGCCCCCGTCCCGACTCTATTTGGGGCTGGGGAGTTGGCTCAGTGGAATAAGTGCTTCCCTGGCAAGCACAAGGGTCTGAGTTCAATCCCCGGTTCTAAAAAAAAAAAAACACCACCAAACCTAGAAAGGCCGCTTTCTCTCTTTGTTCCAGAACATCTATCCCCGGCTCTGAGGAACAGACAGGCCAAGAAAAATCTGAATACTCAGGCCTTGCTGGGTCTTCTCAGAACTAAACTCAGCGCCTTCTTACTGAGCTACACACCCAGCCCTCTTTTACACTTCTGAGCCAAGGATCACTAATTATCTGAGCTGCCCAGGCTGGGTTCGGCCTTGCAATTCTGAGTGCTGAGATTACAGGCACTCCATCTGCCACCATGCCTAGCTTGAGTCTTCATGTCTGGAGAATTCCAGGTCGTATAAAACTTTGATTAAACAAATGTTATCCTCGGCTCATTAAACCACCTTTTACAGGAGTATGAGCACTGACCTTTATGAAGGGGGGCAGGTCTCACCCCTCTTTTCTCCTCAAGCCATCTTCCTTCTGATTTTTATGAGTTGGCTCAATTTTAAAAGATAGCAAAAGAAGCAAGCCTGCCTGTTGTGCCTGGTGAAGGGTGGTAAGGGCGGAGCCCCATGGGCGGATCCTCTTCATGAGGCTGTTGCACAAAAGCAGGAACCAGGGCTGCTCTAAGACACTCCAGGAGGCTCCCCCGGGAGCTGTGGAAGTCCCAGAGCCCTGGAGAGTGCTGCGAATTGCATCTCCAGGGCCGCCCCAACCACCCGCCCTACACATAAATACTGGGACCCAAAGAGGAAGGCTCTGCCTGCTCCAGGGAGGGGGCAGCACGCAGAAAATGTGAGTCCTCATGCCCTGCCTCAGCATGGAGCACCTACCGAAAGCAGTCCGGGGAGCTGGGAGGGCATTATGGTGAAAAGGAGTCAACTGCCTGCCTCAAGAACACACCATCAAGAAAGGGGAAACGCATGTGGACAACACAATTAGAATTGCACAGTCTGATACTGGGAGAATGGAGCTGGACCTCACCCGAGTCTAATGCACAACCTCAGAAATCTGACAAGGACACCAGATGTCCAGCCCCCATTACAACACCCCAGTCACTCTGCATTAATTGCTACCCCATCACAAGGGCAAAATATCCAACACCGGCAACTTAGAGGAGGGGAGGATTATTCAGCTCACAGTTCCACTGGCTCCAAAGCGGAAAGAGCCTGGATGAAGGGCGTCGCAGAAGGGGAGCGGAACCAGGGAAGGAGTCAGTACCCTCCAAGTCCGGCCCCCAGGGACACACTTCTTCCAACAAGTCCCCAGCTCCTAACAGCATGTTCAGCTATGAACTCATCAGTAGATGAATCTACTGAGGAGTACAGCACCCCCGTTGGCCAATCACCTCCCGAAAGCCCTACCTCTGACTACATAAAACTCTGGGGGAGGTGTTCTAAATCTAAACCATAACACACCCCAATATCCAACACCAGCTGCTAAAGGACAGCTCTCTGGCAAGGTTCCCAAAGGCCCAGTTCCTGGGCACTACTGAAAACTAGCTGCACGCCAACACCAGGGGATCCATTTTCTCTCACTGCTATGGCTTGTAGACAGATGTCCCCCCAAAACCTCATACACACACAGGAGGAGCTTTGGGGAGGTGCCTGGAGCGTGAGCACATGGTAACAGGTCACAGGTGTGTGCTGCAGGAATTTGCCACCAAAGGGTTTTGGCTGGGTGTGATGTCGGTAAGAGCTGGTGGGAAGAGGCGGGTCACCGAAGGTGCTGCCTAGAACAGCATATATCTTTCTTCTTCCTCCTCCTCTTCTTCCTCTTTCTCTTCCTCCTCCTCCTCCTCTTTTCATCCATCCCTGCCTCTTGCTGCCATGTCATGAACTCTTTGTCCTCTGCCATGCTGCTCTGCCTTGGAGTCAACCAACTATGGACTGAAACCTCTACAAATTATGAGCCAAAATAACCTTTTCTCCTTTTAACTTGTGGGTAGGAGGCATTTTGTACAGAAATGAGAAAGTAACTTACTGATTACCACTTTCTGGTTTTGGTACCAGAAGTGGGGCCGTTGCAGGAACTATACGTGGCCACGCAATTCAGAAGCCTTTGAAAATGGCTTGTGGGAAGAGTTTGAAAAGTTTGAGAAACGCAAGCTGGAGAAGCAGCCACAGAGGCTGTGAGCAGAGCCTGATGGGAAGAGTCTAGTGAGCTGAGAAGACCAGAGTGCTGACAGAAAGGCAGCTGGTAAAGACCAGGCTCAGGAGTTTCCATTGGGAACAAGGACTGCACTGGCAGTTGGACTCAAGGCCATGTGTGGTGCAGTTTGGCAGAAAATTCATCTGTATTTTGCTCATGTCCAGAGACATTGTAGGAGTCTGAGATTAAGGGAAGCACACTAATTAATCCAGTGGAATAAATCTTGAAGTGGTATAAAATGCAGAAGTAGTGGCACAGCTGCTGTTGGGGGCTTTTAGTCAGCTAAACCTTCAAAATCAAGAGCAGACATCCCAGCAAGTTCTGTGTTTGACTACAGAAGGAAAATCTGGTGTCTCAGTTACTCTTCTCTCATTGCTGGGACAAATAACCTGACACTCATGACATGCCAGTTGCTGCTATGATGTCTCTCGGGTAGGTGGTTGTTCAAGAAGAAGGGGGTGGTGAAGGAAAGCAAAGGACAGGAAAAGGAAAATTGTGGGACTGTCCTGCTTCAAGGTTGTATACGGCGAGATTTTTGGACTTATGTGCAAACATGAGAAGTATATCATTCTTTATGCCTATTTTTAAAATATATTCTAATTTTTAAATGTTTTTTATCATATTCTGTAGGGACTTAAAGTTCAACATATCAATACTTGAT